AAAGTCTGCACTTCAATTGCATCTCCGTTGTTTCATTTCAAATCCATTGTGGTGGTGAACAGAGCCAGAATGATGACAATTCTGTCAGGGCCCAATTATTTCCAGAGATAACTGTGTATCTATATCGACCGACAGACAGACACAGACTGACAGATCGACAGACAGACCGAGATATCGGCACAAACACAATCTTTGTTGCAAATAAACATTTCATTCCTGACAATGGATTCCCAGAGCCATATGGGTTAGCTAAAGAGACAGCACAGCGATATTCATCTCCTGTCAGACACTCTGTGATTGAAACCTCGGACTGAGCTATGCACAGGAACGGGCTTTGTCACACGGAAGTAGGTTCCGGGGTGTATCTGGATTGGATGCTGTGAAAGTAGTGTGTGAGGCTTTTAAAGCGGAAAAGATCAGGACACTGGGTTGGAAAAGTAGCAGAAACAAGAGTGGACCATCTATATACAGTGTGTGTGTGTGTAATATATATACAGTATATATACTATATGGCCAAAAGTATTGGGACGCCGGCCTTTACACGCACATGAACTTTAATGGCATCCCAGTCTTAGTCCGTAGGGTTCAGTATTGGGTTGGCTCCGCCCTTTGCCACTATAACAGCTTCAACTCTTCTGGGAAGGCTCCTCCCTTCACTGAGCTCAGTTCTGTGCAGGGGCAGTTTTTTAAAAAAATATGTGAAGTGGTAATATTTGTACATGTGCATGGGCAGTATCTTTTATGTGCAGTGGCAGTATTTTTTTTATATGTGCAGTGCTAATATTTTTTATATGTGTATGGGCAGTGTTTTTTAATATGTGCATGGGTAGTATTTCTTTTACTATGTGCAAGGGTAGTATTTCTTTTACTATGTGCAAGGGTAGTATTTTTTAAATATATATTGGGGTCTGTAGAACCAAACCGGATATAATTAAATTTTATTTTGATGTACGAAATTTGGCAAGCAGCCCCCATGGGAAACAAATAATTGAGTGGCCCCCGAGTCAAAAGAGTTTGAGACCCCTGATTTATGGGAATGTTGGGCCATTTGTGAGGTCAGGTACTGATGTTGGAGAAGGCCGGGCTCGCAGTCTCCACTCTAAAGGTATGTGAATATATATGGATCAAAACATGAGTGACAACCCTGTGTATAAGTCTTCAAAAAAACCTACCAATATGAATATAAAGTACTAAAAAACAGGTGTCCATACAGGACTGAAAAAGTGCTGATGTGCAAACAATCAAAAGGAAAGCTACATTCCTCAATAAGATAAGTGAATAAATGTAACAGGATATCACACTATAAAAATCATAAAACTAAGTATATCGAAGTGAACTATAAAAAATTAAATAACCATTCAATAAAAATATTTCATAAATATGTGAAGAAGTGCAAATTAGCAATTTCAGTCCGTGATGTGAACTAACACAAACTGCACCAAAAAATATATATATACGAAAAAAATAGATAAGTTATATAAAAATCAATATGAGCGTTCTGATGAGAGTTCCACAATTCCTCCTCACCCGATCTGAAGTCCCCCAAACGGTGGTTACTCACCAGATGGTGTATGGACAGCAAGCTCCTCTCAATAGCTGTAATCCCGGTCCCTTAGCTCACTGATTGTGGGGGGGGGGGGGGTTTAAGTAATTTTCAGGCCTAAAATGTGGAATATAACATGGGTGCAAAAAATGGAAAAAAAGGCCTCAGTCATGAATCTATGTGGAATACTTGCGTGCTCTGAACCTCCTCTTGAAGAATCTTCATGACTTTTCTAGTCTGATGGACCTATAGTATAGAACCAACTCCCATCTTGACTCTCCTGATGAAACGATTGCTTCGCTCTCCTTCCAGTGCTGGTCATTTGGCTGAATGCCTACATTCCATCTTGTGGTTTCAGGCAAGGAGAGTATCAAAATTCCGGCAGGGTCACCTGTCTCCAAACCACTTTGGTTTCGATCACATGGCCCAATACCCGTATTGGGTTTGGTCTTTGGTGACATCACCACCCAAGCAGTGGTCTACTCCTGGACTGGTGTTTCAGGGCCTGTTCTCTTGTATTATTATTATACAGGATTCATATAGCGCCAACAGTTTGTGCAGCGCTTTACAATATAAGGAGGACATTACCGTTACAATACAAATCAAGACAAGATGGTAAGGAGGGCCCTGCCCCTGAGGGCTTATAATCTAAAAGGGAAAGGCAAGTGATACAAAAGGTGGAGATAAATTGTTTGAGAAAGTGATAGTTCAGTGGTTATGTTGAAGAAGGATAGGCTTCCCTAAAGGGATCAACCACCTAAAGACAGAGTAGGATATAGCCGGACAGGTTGGGGTAGGGCGTTCCAAAGGATGGAAAAGACTCTAGAGAAGCCCCGGAGGCGAGCATGGGAAGCGGTGATGAGGGAACTAGAGAGCAGGAGGTCTTGGGGGGAGTAGAGGGAATTGAGTGATACTTTGAGACGAGGTTGGAGATAATGCCGGGGGCAGAGTTGTGGATGACTTTAGAAGTGGTTATGGAAGCCAGTGCAGGGATTGACAGAGGGGATCGGGGGATGGAAGCCAGTGCAGGGATTGACATAGGGGGGTTGGAGACACTGAGCGGTTGGTTAGGTGGATAAGTCCAGCAGCTGCGTTCATGATAGCCTGTGTAGAGGTAGGCCAATGAGGAGTTACAATAGTCGAGATGGAAGATAACAAGTGAGTGTATGAGCAGCTTTGTGCTTTCATTGGTGAGGTAGGGGCGTATAGAGATATTACAAAGGTGAAGGCGGCAGGATTTGGATAGTGATTGGATAAGGTGTGGCTGGGGACTTTCATTTCTGTTGGTGCCACCTAGATCCTAGGCCCAATGTTACTTTATAAGCGGAAGAAATACAATCTCGAATGTCTTCCAATGAGTTGTTCCACCGTAGAACAGAGATTGCGTATACTGAAATACATTTTATTCAAATACAATGCAGACGTGATGTGGAACAGAAGGAAACATGCTTTAGGGGCCCCGTACAGAGGAAGTATGAAGGCTGACCTCTCCCGGAAATAATAGGCCCCTGTTATGCTGATCCAGTGGTTTCAGTACTTTGAGTCAATGACCTGGAACCGGTATGTGGATCAGTTCTTATTTTCTTCATCTACATGCATGTCCAGGTCAGCGATGGCAGTCTCTGTATTTCTATTAAAGGGAAGTTGCCATATACAGTATGACACGCATGCATCAGGTCAATTATTAAAGTGCATCTGAAGCCAAAACCCTTTTTGTAAAATTTTGGATAGACTCGCCCAAATGCTCCGATGCCTAGCACGAGTACTTCCTGTATCAGAAAGCCGGGCAGCGCGTCATTACACGCCGCCCGGTTTCCTGATTGGCCGGGAAGCCGGCTCCATGCTCTCTTGTGATGAGAGAGCATGGAGCCAACTTGCCGGCCAATCAGGAAGCCGGGCAGCATGTAAGAAATGTGCAAGGACCTGTAGCACACCTTACCGGACTTCCCATAAGAAGAAATGGGTGCTCGCAATGACTACGGATGGCACCG